CTCTGTAAAAGTTTTGACGGGTAAAATTATTATCACGGGAACCACGAAAGCTAGAAGGCTGAAATTTTGTGGACATGTCCCCTGCTCAAGTGCGACCCCTCATATTTAAATTCAGTCTTCCCCTGCCCGCGGGTAACACATACGGCCCATAAAAATCCTGACGGGTAAATTACTGCCCCGGGAACCATAAAAGCCAGGAAGCTGAAATTTTTGTGGTAGCGCGCCCTGTCTACATACAATCCCACACATTTAAATTCAGCCTTCCCGCGCTCAGGTGTCACTTACGGCCCCGTGAAAATATCGGTGGGGAAATTATTATCTCGAGAACCACGAAAGTTGGAAATCTGAAATTTCGGGGCGATATCCCCTATCAATGCTTGACCCCACCAAATTAAATTCAGCTTACACGCACCCCTGGGTACCACATATGTTCCAGTGAGTCTTTGTTTCGTGAACTGCAAAAGCTAGGAAGCTGAAATTCTAGCGTGGCATTCGCTTCCCACGTACAACTCGGCAAATTTTCAACGTTCCCTTGGAAGTTTTGACAAGAAAAATCATTATCTCGGGAGCTAGAAGAGTTAGGGAGTGGAAACTTCAGGTGAATGTTTATTGCCTAAGCAGGAGCTTCACAAACTCGAATTCAGTTCCTAAGGATGCCGAGGTCTCACGTACGAGTATGTGGAAGTTTTGCCTCAAAGATCATTCGAAAGCCAGAAAATTAGGAGAATGAAATTTTGGAAGGATATTCACTCTTCGAGGTTTCAAATTCTGCTCTCACTTGTCGGTGCGTGAAGTTTTTAACTAGTTCTCAGTATTTCAACCATTTTTGCACAGATCAAATTGCAAAGCAGTGCAAATTTTTAGCAGACAATCGTGTGGTAGACGGAACTGCACAAAACGCATGATCGCACCGGCTATTCTGATGCGCGCTCCTATTTATTTGTAGTGCTTGTTTTCTTCTCCTCTTTACTGCTATCAACAGTTTTTGGCTCGAGCTCCTGACTTGTATTCTCGTTCCTCCTCTTTACTCTGTCTTCAGATCCTACTTGCAAAGCAACATCTGAGCTCCAGTTCATCCCCACTATAAGAGCACTCTGGAACCAAATAATATTTCATCCCTTTCCCTATCCCGGATATCCGCGGCACTTCTTCCTTTTCACCCATCACCTCCTTGCCCTTTCTCTCATGTCGTCTAAACAACCGCCAAAGGAACTACGCCACGCGGTTATTAAAGCCATCCATCCAACCACACGCGCGAAACCCCACACACCAACTCCCCGTCGCCTATACCCATCCTACCAGCGTCACCCAGCGCCTTTTGTCACGCTGAAGCAAGGACACACACCGTTGGTAGAAAAAATTTTTCGCAGGTTGTGTATGACGCCGGCCGAGCCGAGTTTTAGTTATTACCGAGTTTTCATAGTTGCCGCGAAAATTGGACAAATTCGTTTGCGCACTGTGTTTTGGCGGTGGATATATTTGGAATTTGCGGTCAGCTGGGGTTAGGCGCGACGGCATCATCCGCAGGGGTAGGCTTCGTGAGCTGCAGACTGTAGCTGGCGTTGGAGCTTTCAGAAACTGGCTGGTAAGGTAAGGTGGCATGTAGCATCGCGGAGACAAGCATTCCGATAGCTTAAATTGCTGATGAGCGGTCGGACGCTGCTCATTTATGCTCTTCAAAATCGGTACCCCTCCGTTATTGATCTTCTCTGGATAGTAGCACGTGCCAATAGTAGTCGTCAGCTAACAGGGCTGTCGATGTTTGGAAGCTGGTTGAAGGCAGTTTTGATCCCGAGACGGGTGCTTGCTTCGAAGCGAATGAATCGTAGAGGGCCTGGTTGTCGCACCCTCTGGCTTTTAGCGCGAGAGCGGCCAGCGTTACATATGTCACTATTTTGCAGCCATTCATGAATTGTGCTTCAACGGCTACCAGCAGCGATCATCCAGCAACGGAGAACGGGCCAACGACAGCAGACGATCATCAGCAAACAACGGGCGGCGGCGATTCACAAGATAATCCACAAGCAACAGACGGCGAGTTTCGGGCAATGAACGGCGATTTACAAGCAACGAATGGCGATCTGCAGGCAGCGAATGACGACGATCCGAAGGCAGATGACGACGACGACGACGACGACGACGATGCAGCTTCAACGGACAGCGATCCTTTAGCGTTCCTGAACGAGCCGTTACCGCGGACAGGGAGTGACAGCTCATGGGCGAGGGAAGGCCGTCGTTTAGTAACAGAAAGTTTCCTAAGAGATGAACAGGAAAGCTGGGAGTCAGTGGGGCGAAACGCGGATGATTTTGCTTTGTTGTCGCATGCGGAGCGGAATGAAGGTGAGATTGATGGTGCAAGTTTCTTTGTCGGTTTTGCTTTTAGCTCGGGCTTTGACCGAGATTGCTCAGACAGTAATGCCCTCCTTTGCATATCGTTTTCTAGCTCTCTGGATGCACATTTTCATTCAGAATGGGTCACGCCAACGCAGCGGCCGATGATCTCGTACCTGGACGAGGAGGTGAGGAGAAATATCCTAACACCTCCATTCGCCACTTTGGTGTCTGTGAACGATAGAAATTTGATCACGCTCACCAAGGAGGTATGTGTTACTGTTTGTCTTCCTGCGTCCCACTGAAATTCTCGTTCCTTGTGCTGCAGAATGTGTAATTAGAGCAGATCTATGTGCCCAGCTGGCTGTCCTCTTCTGGCGAGCTTGGGCGCCCTGACACATAAAAACAACGTGTAGGTTGTACTGGGGAATTTATGTTCTGCATTGCAACTGGGCTGTTTAAGGTGAACAGCTGGAAGAATCAGTTTGCTGAGGCGCTTGGTCGTAATCAGTTGCTCACGTTCAAAATAAAAAATTTGAGTCGGTGAGTTGTTCCAAGCTGCGCACCTCATCTTTACTTCGATTCTTTCCCGCGGTGCTGCTATGTGTGAATTTTTCAAAAAAAAAAAAGCAATGCTCTAACTGTGGTGTTTACAGAGAGAATGCTCGACTGCAGGGTGATCTGCTGCGGTTGCAGTCTCACTTCGAGAACACAATCCTCCAGCAGCAGAAGGCTTTTCGGAAAACCGAGAACGAGATGCGCACTCAAATTATTTGCCAGGTTTGTGCGCATCTGCAGCAGCAGCAGATACAGTGGGAGCAGTGCATTAGGGTTGGGGTATGAACTGCATTTGCAAGGACAGATGAACACACAGATGCTGACTGTGGATGAGATGAAGACGATGCTTACTTTGGCACTTTTCTCGGCTGTTTTTTTGGCCCTTTTCCTCTTCACCACTGATGCAGCTGACAGCTTTACCCGTGTCTCTTTTTAGCATTTCTCATCGATGTTTTTTAATATGAACTTTCAGTTAGATCATTTCACCGCACAGTCATCTTCCTCTCCGCTCATCTGAGTGCTATTCAGTAACCCGCTCTATCTAACTCTCTTTTGCAACATGCCCCGTCCCTTCCCAGCGTTGGCTGCATCGTGAATCATTGGTCAGATTTGAATGGTTGTACGAAATCGGAGGTGTGCTGCAGTTTACTGACACTTAATATGCAGCACTGCATAGTTTGTTGGGTCATCGTTAACTTATTCTTAACAAGCGTTTCATTTTCTTTTAAAAGAGCCTCTAAAACGATGGAATTGAAAGGTGATGCTCTCGCAGTCGATACTGTTATGTTAATATTTTAAAAGACGTCTTGCGTCATGGGAGGGGGGCTCTCTGTTTTGCTCATTTGTTCTGCTTGGTCCCAAACCCAACACGTTATTCATTCCTGTGTATTTTCTCTACTGATTTTCAAGTTCCATATCGAAAGAAAAATAATGCGTATTTTTTCACCCACTTATTTAGATG